TTCCGAGGAGTAGCTGGTGGGTTTGAACCACCAGCCCTCTGGTTAGCAGGCAAGTGTCTTAGCCACTATGCTACCAGAGCTCCCTAATCTATTGTAGGGGTAAGGAAAATGAATTAGTGCAAATTAGTTTAATAAGATTTTTTTCCTCCCAACTTGTTAAGGGCAACAGTGTTGAGGAACAGGGAGAAAGGAAGTGAATAATTGTAGAATCTTGAGTATTTTGTGAGATGGTACAAATCCCTATGAGGTGTCACAGTGAAGGGTTAGGATAGAGTGAGGACGCAGCATTTTGGGAAAGTGTCCTTAGGAGAAAGATGAGAAAGGGAAGTTGGAGAGAGTAAAGAATGGGTTTAATTTATTCCAAATGTTTGGGGTGGCTAATGAGCCTGGAAAAAGAAGAAAATGCTTTTCTTTACCCAATTTCCTATTACATAAGATATGGCCATTTTTGCCCAGATAGCACTGAGAATGCCTGACATAGAGAAGGTGATGAATAAATATTCTCTAAATACATGAACAAAATTATTTTCCAACCTATTAGCTGGCACTTGAAAATCCATAACCAGAAATGCATACTTTTAAAATGCACATCTCCCTGGGAAAAGTAAAACTTTTTTGGTATTTTAGGTGAGAAGGTCTAAATTCATCATACTCCTCAGTCCAAGACACATATATGATCACTGCTTCATACAAGGCTCTTCCTGTGATAGTTGTGTGCATGTGGGGGTCCATGCATGTGGATGTGTGGATGTGTGTGTGTGTGTGAGTCAGTCCCCACATTCATTATTCTTCTTCCTTCCCCACCAAACATCCATAACCCCCACCTCCACTGCCATCTGCACCCTGCCATAGGTCACAGATCTGACATATTTATCTGTATTTCTGAATATGTGTTTATCCTTATAAAACATGAAGTGTTATTTAGTACGTATGTTTTTATTTTGTACGAATAATTCTCTTTCTTTCTGATTCAGCCAATGATCTTGTGATCTATCCAAGTTGCTGCATCCGGCTCATGCTTCTAACATGGTATTGCACAGTGTGTTCCCACCACATTTTACTTATTCATTCCCCTAGTGATGAGCTGTCTCCAAGCACCCACTCTACAGACATTGCAGCACTGGGGAATCTCATCCAAGTCTTCCAATGTGGTCGTTAGTGAGAATACCTGTGGTATAGTTACTCAGGAGTAAGTTCCCTGGGTCATTACATGCTGCTGCATTGCTCTCCAGAAGGCAGCATTAATTGACTCTCTCATATCAGTAAACAAAACTTTTTCTTTCCTTATATCACCACCCACACTCGGTATTATACAACTTTCTACTTTTACCACCTTTTGGAAGTTTAAATGGTATCTTTATTGAACTTTCAGTTTACATTTTTCTTCATACACTTGCAGCCACTTGTGGCTTTTATGAATTGAATCTTTACATCGGTTCCTCATTTCTATTGAAGTTTGCTCTTTTTCCTTTTGATTTGTAAGCATTTCTAGATATTACTTCTTTTTTGGCTGTAAGCATAAGAAACTCTTCTCCCAATTTTTCATCTATCTATTAATTTTGTCTATTTATCCTTTGTTGAATAGACAAGTTACTTTGCATGTTATGAAAGACATTATTTTTTTCCTTATATGATTTGAACTTGTCACAACTTTAAGAAGTGTCTTTCCTCTCTTAGGTCACAAAGATATTCTTCTATTTACTTTATGGTTTTTGCCTTTCACAACCAAATCTTTAATGCATTTTTTATATGCTAGAAGTTTTCTTTTTCTCCACATAATGAGTATATTAGTTTCCTGAGTTGCAGTAGGAAATATCATAAACTGAGTGGCTTACAAGAACAGAAATTAATTGCCTCACAGTTCTGTAGGTTACTGTTACAAATCATATTGTTGACAGGGCCACATTCTCTCCAAAAACTCTAGGAGAAGATCTTTTCTTTTCTTTTCTTTTCCTGTTTCTGGAAGCCTCGGGGGTTCCTTGGCTTGCAGCTGCAGCACAATTCCATAATCATATGAATATCTTCCCTCTATTATCTCTGTCTCTTTTTCTCTTTTATAAGGGACTTACTCAGATTAGATTAGGATGCACCCTACTCTGGTATGATCTCATGTTAATTTAACTGATAACATTTTCAATGACACTATTTCCAAACAAGGTTATGTTCACAGGTACCAGAGCTTAAGGAATCAATAAACATTTTGGAGGTCATGTCCAGTCCGTAACAGTGAGCCAGTTTTCTGAACACAATCTAGTAAACCAAACCTCACCACCCACAAAAAAAAAAAAAAAAGAAAAAAGAAACAAAAGAAAAAATTGTCATTGAGTCCATTCTGTGAATCAGAGGGCAGCATACGACTGTCCCATAGGGTCTCCAAGGCTGTAATATTTACAAAAACAGATTGCCACATCTTTTTGCTATAGAGTAGCCGGTGGGTTTGAACTACTGACCTTTCAGCTAGCAGCTGAGTGCTTAACCACTTAGCCATCAGAGCTCCTTGTCTAGTCCTTTATTATCATGTGGATAATAATCAAATCAAATCTATATCCACACTTCCCTCTTCTCTGTTCGGTTCCAATACCAGCTGTCCATGCAGCAATTTTTTTCTCTGACCCTAGCTCCCCAAAGCTAGAACAGATTTCACAAGTTAAAAGGACAACATTCTTCAAACAAGCAAATAGGCAGATGTCAATCACATGTTTGGGAGACCACACACTCTCACTTCTGACCTGATAGCTAGCAATTCAAGGCTTCCCTCTACACCCTCCGGATACCCAGACCCCCTCACTTCTGACCTGCTGGCTCCCACTAGTCCCTCCATTTTAATCATTCACTAGACTGAATCAGAACTCACAGAAAATACTATGTTTACAATTACAGCTTTATTATAAAAGATGCAAAGCAAGATTAGCATTAACAATAATCACAAAAGGAGAGGTCTGGGAGTATTACCAATGCAAAAGTTCCATGTTTCAAAGAGGGCATGTCACCCTCTCAAGAGCAGATGCTATTCACCAACCAGAAAGCTAAAGGAGATTCAATGTCCAGTATTTTTATTAGGGATCTTCCATACCTAATGCAAACTCCAGCCACTCTTCCCTGAAGTTGGTTGATATCACAAAGTGATCACGAGTTATGCCTTCGTGGGACTTACTGATCAGGTCATCATGAGATAATAATTGTGAGATCAGGCTCTCTGGCCTCCTCATTAAGTGACTCTCGCCAGGTAAGTCTTTCTGGTCTGGCCAAGCCCCACCTCAGAGTTGGCTCTTCAGCATACCTTGTCAGGTCTTTTACTCCTTGTTGGTATTACAGGCTTCTAGGATTATCTATCCACCATTCATCTGTCAGTTTGTTGTACTGTGGTGGCTTTCATGTTGCTCTGAGGCTGGAGGCTATGCCACCAGTATTTCAAATACTAGCAAGGTCACCCATGGTGGGCAGGTTTTAGCAGTGCTTCCAAACTAAGACAGACTAGGAAGAAGGAAAGCTCATCAACTCTCAAAGTGATGGCCATTGAAAACCTTATGAATAACAGTGAAACATTGTCTGATATATTACTGAAAAACTTTA